TTGTATTGAATCAATCACTTTGATCTATTAATACATTTATCTCTTCGTCTAAATTGCTAATTTGAATTTTGGTGGTGAAATAATATTTTACTATATGGATTTGTTGGTGGGATGGTATAGATCTGCCAGCCATTCCAGACCAACAATGTACTTTGTTATATATATTGCAAACATTATTGTCTTGGAAAGTTGAACTATGCTTTGATAATGCTTTAATGTACATTTTTGTGAAATGGTCAATTAGTTACACAATTAGGTTGATAAGCTGTTTTTGTTGGGAAAGGCAGTTCTTTTTTTGTATTTATTCTACGAAAATGAAGTTAGCATGGTCAATTAGGAAGCTTTCACATTTGTAAATTGTGATTATATTGGCCCTCTTCATATCCGCTTAATAGGAGAGGTACCTAATTACCTGGAAAAAAAAGCAGATGGAAAATTGTTTTTTGTGGGCTGTTTTTGCCCCAGAATAGCGAAACACTTTTCAGTCCTTATTTGCTTTCACAATTGTCATTTTGCTTTGTGCTAGTTTGATTAGTCAACGAGTCACCGTGATCCATTAAAGCTGCAACATGGAGCAGTCTTGTAACACAAAAAATTATTATATTTAACTCCTTTCACTTGTTTCATGTTTGCCTTTCCTACCTCTATAATTTCCTTTTAGGATTTTGATACATGACTTGTATAGAGCTCAATCTTTCTGATAATGGATGTTTAGAGGGGAGGAGCTTGAGCTTTATACTTTAACGGCTTTTTAGTTGAGGGTAATTGAGAATAGAAAAGCTAATTATGAACCTAAAATCCCTTTGTGAGTGTTTAGTGGACATTTTCATATATTTTCCTTGTAAGTGTTGAGGGTAACCGAACCCCTTGGTGAAGTCCAGTCCCCCGGAGGACTTAATAGCACTACATAGTGACTAGGAGCAGAGAGCCCGTTGCGCCTTGTTTTTTTGACCGGCCCATCTTCTTTCTATAAGCAAGCTCCCTCCGGCCGGTAGGTACCTGGACGGCTCTCGGTTCTTGAGCATGTTGGGAGATTAGGCGGCAGTTGAAAGAGCTGCTCGAAAGCTTTACGAACAAGCGAAAAGGCCCTTCTTTTTCTACAAGCAGTTGAAATGGAATTAAATCTCTTTCCCCTCTACACCCAGACAAGATGGATCAATGAAGGAGTTTTTATACTATTCCTTTCGTTTCTCTTTGTTATTTCCTTTCCTCATCTTCAAATCAAACTGCCCCTTTATTGTTATTAAATAGTGATGTAAGAAGGGTCTGGCAAGCGGAAAGACCAGGAAAGTGAGAAGACTGAGAACTTGGTGTGGCTGCTCATATATCAATTATTAAAGGAGGTGTATGTATCCTTGAGGCGTGTCATAGTAGAAGATATGAACAGTTTATAAGCTTGAAAAGCAGCATACTGACATTGAATTTCCTTCATATTTTTCTACTATAAGAAGGAAAGTGTCATTAAAATTGTTGTACAGTAAGTGATGAACTGAAAAGTAACAGGTAATTGGTAATTTAACTTTGTAATGCCATGGAAAATACGTAGAAGATTACTTATTGTTGTATTTATAAAATAAGATCAGTAAGACAATAACATAAGTGAAGAGATTGAGTGTAAAAGTGGCCTTTGAAGGCTCTGAGATTGATGAGATCAACTAATTGTTGGACTTATATTGGGACTTTTGATCATAGATAAATATTGGTCCACCACCTGGCTACCTTTAAAGAACAATTTCTTTCTTTTTTCAGTTGTTAACCTGATGTCATTAGTGTGAAGTTGAAAGCATTGAAATCTGTTGGTTCACGTTTCAGTAATAGAAACATAGATCATTTTAGTCCAAATATAGTTGGATGAAGTTTTTCCTTGGAATTGGTTTGGGATTCTGAAACTAGTGAAGCTGGGTGATAACCTTACAAACTACCTTAGGTGTTATGACAAGTAGTTTGTTGATATTTTCTTTCGGTGAACTTTTATTTTAAGATTATTAACTATCCACCCCAAGCCCTTGAATCAATCATTTTGTTGAACTCATTAGGAATTTTCTAAATCCATGGATACCTTGGAATCCTTACTTTTTTCATAATTTTCTTATTTTAATTATGTGAATAATACAAACAAGTTTTTTGAAATGTAGGAACCATTGGGTACTCGATGTGATCGATATGCGTATGAGTCTTGTGTGTGAGTTATTTGAGTTGTGTGGAACTATTTATTACTTTAATTACTACCTCCGTTATAGGTTATGTGCAACGATTAGACATTTTTCCTCTCTGCTTTATGTCAAATCGTTGCACATAACCTGTAATTGAGGTATTATGTGAATTATTAAAGTTTTAATTGTTTTTGTTGGAAATTAAAGTATAGTTAATTTTGTTGTATTGTATGGTTGTGGATGAATAACTTGATTTGTGTGGAACTATTTAGAGTGTTTGTATTGTATGTTGTGGGTGAATTTAAGTTCTATGGAAGTATTTGGAGTACGTGTTTTGTTGGTTAAATTGTAACAGGTTATAACTCATTTGACGATGCATGGGTCGTTTGGTATTCGAATCAAATATTTATAAAAAAATAATAATTATTCATTAGTATCTGGCGTAATCTTGTGCTAGTTACTAATAGTATTTTTTTTAAATAAAAAATATATTCGTAACCGGCGTTATGATTTGCCAGTTACTAATAATATCCTTATTGTAACCGACGTAACTTAATGCCAATTACAAATAGTGTGATTTCTTAATTGGAAAATAGACTTTTTGTAACTGGCGTTGGGTTAAGCCAGTTACGAATAATACATTATTTGTAACTAACATTACCTGGTTACAAATAATTTTCACTAGTTGTACCGGTGGCATTTGCAACCAACAATGTCAGTTACCAAAAGTCCATTTCGCCGGCTACAAATAACACTTTTTCTACTAGTGTATATATATATATATATGTATGTATGTGTATGTACATACATATATATATATACATATACATATATATATCCATTCCGACATGTGATTATTACACACGTTGGATTTAAGGAGGGGATTGAGTTGAGGTGATAGATAAGGAAAATCCTTCAAATGAATCCATCCCCCCTTGAAGTTTAATCACTAAAATTAACAGATTTGAGGTATGAAGTATTCCATGAAATTTGGTTCATTTTGCTCGATGAAAGAAAAAAAAATAGCATTTCATCATACGAAGTACTAAAAGAAAATTTAATTTCAATGCCATCACAAGCTTACAACTTTGATACTTTGACCCAAGGCTTTTTTTCAATGCTTCATTTGAAATCAGGTGTAGATGATTTACCCTATGTATGATTTATCTGGATGTGTATAGTAAAATGAACATGTTATTGATTAGTCATACACTATTACGACAATTAATGGGGAAAAATTATTTAAAAGTGAAACATTTGTAAATTGTGATACATTGATATAGTTAATTGATGCAAGTTGGCATGCATGTGAGTGGGACCAATTATGTATCATCGTGTTCTAATTGGCTTTATTGTTGTTTTGTCTTTCATATACTTAAACACATCTTTTTGACACTTATTTGAGGAAGTAATTTGAAAAGATAAACAAATGAATTAAGCTATCAAATTTAAACTATAACAACTTAACACCTTTTTGCCAAAGGTAAAATGATTGACGTGTAATCGTGAAAATTTAAGTTCAAAAAGTTAAAGAATCATCAACATATTTGGTCCATTTAACTAGTATAATATCATCCTTCTTGATATGTGTGCCGAAGTGGTGTGACAAATAAATAAAATGGAGGGAGTACATTTTGTTTATTAGTTAGAGTCTTAGAGATCTTTTTTCCTTTTTTTCTTAATTGTCTACATATAAATTTGCTAGATTCAGCAAAACAATGACGTATGGATTGAACTTTAATACTCTATGTATAGTGAGAGAAATGAATGGTTTGGCTCACCACGAAAATAAAGGTGTGGAATCAGGATTGACTTTTGGTACAGTATCACGAAAGGTCGCCTCGTATCATTGAGGCGCGAGGTTTGATTCTTATTAACGCGAAATCCCTTTCTCTTACTTTGGGCAATGTCATTCAAATTTTTTTTTCCCAATTTGTACCATTATAGTTTCAATTTATTCTCTACTATAGCATTCCATCAAATATAATATGTATTCTTCCATTTGAATTTCATTAAAATTGATCGGTTAAAGTTTTAAGAAAATGTTTTAGCCCTTAGCGGCCCTAAGGTTCAAGTTTGAGGTCGAAATTAGCGGGAAAAAAAATTTAAAAATGTCGCTATTAATTTATGTGCAAGAAAAATGTTTCAATATGTATATTTCGATTGGTTTCGTGCAAAAAAAATGTTTGGTTAAAGTTTTGGGGGTCATTATGATCTTAAAGGATTAAAATTTGCAGTCGGAATTAGAAATAAAGGGCCACAATCACCCCAAACTAATGTTACTTTTAACGAGATGCTATAGTAAAGAATAAGTTAAAATTACAATAGTATCATGTACTGTAAAACTAAAAATTGGGTACTAAATGGGAAAATTAAAACAATTAAGGGCATGTTCATATTTACTGAGCTAAGCTGAACTGAACTGAACTAAGCTGAAATGAATATTTTATGAGAGAGGGAAATTAAGAGCTGAACTGATTGGAGCTGAACTGAACTGAACTGAAAATAAGTAAATATGAATAGGCCCTAAGTCTACAACGGTACCAAATGAAAGATAAAAAAAATAAATAATAATAAAAAAAAAAACCTTAAAGGAGTAGACATTTTAACTTGCTTTACTAATTATAGAGTTACTTTACTTTATATAATAATTCTTTTCAAATATAATCAATTTTGAAAATCTTTTTTCATATGCTGAAAAAAATTTAATTTTCTTTTACAGCATAATATATCCATAGATCTGAAGAGTTATTCAACTAACTTCTGGCCACAAACTAAATCTTTTTTTTTATTTTATTCTTTTATTTTATTTATTTATTTATTTATTTATTATTTATTATTATTATTATTTTTTTTTGAAAAAGGATACAATTGCATATATTGAAAGGTTTATAGGCCAATTAAGACATTTACAAAGCTATGAGCAACACTTGCTCTTATGAACAAAAGAAAACAAACAAAGTTAAAAGAAACTGCCATCTTAGTCCTCTCATGAGTGTTGAAACCACTTTGTAGATAGCACCGCCTTGATTCTAGCGAGCTGTAGCCTACATTACAAGTTAATCCCGGTGTCCTTTTTCCACCAAGGGTAAAGCTTGGGTAATTGACCATGGTAGAAACATCAAATAACCTATGGAGCTTGAACAATAACGTTACAAGTTTAGTTTTTTTTTTTTTTTTTTTTTTTTTTTTTTTTTTTTTTGTTTTTTGTACAACCAAAATACCAAATGTCCAAATATACATTGAACCAAGTCCTTAATACTCAACTTTTGCACTCTCCCTTTTCTAACACATTGCACCCTCCTTTTAAGGGTGCTTATTGAGCGAGTCGATTACGAGTAGAAAGTAACTCGTCTCGTGCTCGTTAACTTTCGAGTCGAGCCAAATTGCTCACGAATTGCTTATTTGAATCATCTCGAAACTCAATAAGTGTACATGAGCACGAGCCATATCGAGTTGAGGTTGACCGAGTTGAGTTCGGGTAGCCTGTAATGTTGTAACTGTAAGCAGTTATCCCGTGTACGTGCTATATCCCGTGCGTTGGTAAAATTGTTGCGATTATAGCCGGAAGAAGACATCATAATTAGTGAGCTGATCGCATAGTTAGAAGCAGAAATTCGAACCGGCAAGTCTTGCCGGTTTTCGTTGGTTTGATCAACTCTATATTTCTATCAAACGTAAAACTTTCTCCGGTAATTCTACTCTTTCTCTCTCCTGTATTGCATATTTTCTTGTTTATCGCTGCAAAATTTTGAAAAATGCTTGCTCTAATTGCTTTTGATTGCAAAATTTGTATTTATCTGAGTCGATTAATGTAAAATTTTAGGGTTTTGCGAAGTTATTATCAAATATTGAATTCAGGTAATTTGAATGTGCATTTTTGGGCACCCAATTACAAATATTGATCAATTCATGATGATATTATGATGGGATCATCTGATTTTGTTACTTCGTTTGTTTTTTTAGCTTGAAACGATTCGATTCAATGGTTAGGAAGCGCTTCCCAGATCTACCAACAGGTTTAACACTAATGCCCAGCACCTGTTCGATGAAATGCGTAAATGGCATGCTTTTTTTTTGTACTAATGTTTATTGCAATGCTTCTATAACAGGTATTCAATGGGCTAAAGTCTTGAAAAAAGTGGGTTTAGGGAGGGAAGATTGGTACTTTTGGAAGCAAGTGGGTAAGGCATTGTTATGCACCTATGCATTGTTTGGGGCAGCTTGGGTTTACAATGAAACATCCCCACTTGGGTGGTGGACGTTGAAGCCTCGTCCCAAGGAGGAGAAAGAACTGGCTCACCTCTACGAAAGGCGACAATTTCCGTACCCGGGTGACAAAGAAGCCATGGAAGAGTTTGTTGCTAAGGGAGGGATGATTGGCACTACCATTGGCCCCAAAGGGACGGTCGATACTGATAAGGATGCATTCAACTATCAGAAGGAGTTGCAGAACAAGAAGTTTGAGCAGGAGGCTCACAAGCTGTGGTTTAGAATGAGGAATGAAGTCATTGCTGAGCTTCAAGAAAAGGGCTTCGATGTCGAGTGAAATGACTTGAATGACGATGCAAGAAGTAGGCATTAGACTTTTATGTAAGGTCCTGGACTTGAGCTTTAAAGATTTCAGGTACAAACATAACTATTGCTTGAGTAGAACTTCAAGGATGAAATAATATGAAAACTGGACAAATGAGGTTTGTTGAGTTTATGTTGTTATACATAACTAGTAGAGGTTGATAGTAAAATGTTGTATTTTAGGGGTGGCTCAGCTGGCGTAGAGAAACATAAGAAGTTGGATAGTTTAAATTGTTAGCGTCAGAAAACATAAGCAGTACTACCTTTTGGGCAATCTTCGTTTATTTTGTTATGTATATGCACTTGAAGATCAATTGTGAAACTTTATTATTTTGTGAAACTTTTGGGATGAAATAAGATAGATGAACACTGGACAACTTTGTTATTGTATGGTTTTTGTTTTGGTGTGGTTAGTATTAGTACCCCTGAATTTGTGAATGTTTTACTGATGGTTTCTTGCTACCAAGTAAGCCTGCGTCTGAAGTAGGCAAGCTAAGTTCGCTAACTGAGGGTCCATTATTGGGGTTATGAATACTCTGAAAAGGGTACTTATAATGTAAGAAGTATGCAATTTATTGACTTAGAAGCATGTGCATTTAGAGATTAGATAAGCTTGTGCACTTACTTCAGTTACGAAGTTTTCAGCAGCATCTTTAGCAAGTGGGAAAGTCATTCTACTTAGATAAGCAACTGGATAGAGGAAGCCGGCTGATTTTTCCATGTTCAACAACTTCTGCTTGGAAAAAGCGGTCAGGGCTGTCAATGCTCCCTGCAGTCAAACTTCTTAAATGCTCGTAATATACCTGAGAGTTATACAGAAACTGGGAAGAAGGAAATGCTACCAACATTAGTGCAGTACAATTCAGTATTTTTAGATTTTACCTGTGAATACCCAACAAAATGTACCTTCTGTTTACCAGATCATACACATATTTGGTCCATTGCTGGAAGATCATATGCCATCAGCTCATCCCATGACCAATCCCAATATGCCTTGTTGCCTACATAAGGTTTCGACACCGGACCCCTAAACCTTCAAAAATTCTCAAAAAGCGTGGATATCTTTCAATTTTTGAAATTTTCAACTTTTTTTCGCCCATATTTAAAAATTCCCGAAACGTTTGCCATGGTCCCTAATATCCTCCGGGATTCCAATTGGGTGGGTGTAATCATCCAATTTGCCTTTAAACGGCCAATTTACCGGTTTACATCTTGCACCGATTTCATTAACTCAATCTTACCACGAACATTTATGACCACATATAATGATAATATATTGTTCCAAATGGCATTTTATGACCCCAAGATTTATCCCCTAAAATCTCAAGCCTTTTCGACACCGGTCCTCGAAACCTCCAAAATTTCACAAAAAGCGTGGATAATGCCTTCAGTTTTGGAATTTTTTTCGCCTATAAATAAAAATTGCCGAAATGTTTACCATGGTCCCTAATACCCTCCGGCAGTCCAATTAGGTGGGTGAAACCATCCAATTTGTCTTTAAATGGCGAAATTACCGGTTTACAACTTGCAATGATTTCATTAACTCAAACCTACCACGAACATTTATGACAACATATAAAGATCATTTATGGTTTAAAACTTTATTATATTACCCTGAGATGTGTCCCCTATAATCTCAAAGCTTTTCAACACCAGGCCCCGAAACCTCGAAAATTTCTCAAAATGCATGGATATTAGCCTTAAATTTTGGAATTTTTTGACTTTTTTCGCTCAAAAATAAAAATTGCCAAAGTGTTTACCATGAACCCTAATACTCTTCGGGAGTCCAATTAGGTGGGTGGAACCATCCAATTTGCCTTTAAACGGCCAATTTACCGATTTAAAACTTGCACTGATTTCATTAATTTAAGCCTAACACGAAATGACAACATATAATGATCATATATGGTTCCAAATAGCATTATATGACCCACAGATTTATCCCGTAAAATTTCAAGACTTTTCGACACCGAGCCCCGAAACCTCCAAAATTCCGCAAAATGCGTGGATATTAGATTTCAATTTTGTAATTTTTTGACTTTTTTTCGCCCGAAAATAAAAATTGATGTAATGTTTACAATGATCTCTAATACCCTCCGAGAGTCCACCCGGCTATGTGAAATCATCCAATTTGCCATTAAACAGCCGAGTTATCGGTTTATAACTTGCACCGATTTTATTAACTCAAGCCTACAACGAACATTTATGACAACAAATAATGATCATTAATGGTTCAAACAACATTATAGGACCCCAAAATGTATTCTCTAAAATTTCAAAACTTTTCGACGCCGGGCCCCGAAACGTCCAAAATTTCTTAAAAAGCGTGGATATTAGACTTCAATTTTGAAATTTTTAAACTTTTTTTCGCCTGAAATTAAAAATTGCCGAAATTTTTACCATGGTCCCTATAACCTCCGAGAGTCCAATTGGTTGGGTTGAACCATCCAATTTGCCTTTATACGACCAATTTACTGATTTACAACTTGCACCGATTTCATTGACACAAGTCTACCACGATCATTTATGACAACATATAATGATCATATATGGTTTCAAACGGAATTATATGACCTCGAAATGTATTATCTAAAATCTCAAGGCTTTCCGACACCGGGCACTAAAACCTCAAAAATTTCTCAAAAAACGTAGATATAAGCCTTCAATTTTGGAATTTTTTGAATTTTATTCGCCCTGATATAAAAATTGCCGAAATGTTTACCATAGTCCCTAATACCCTCCGGGATTCCAATTGGGTGGGTGGAACCATCTAATTTTCCTTTAAACGACCAATTTACCAGTTTACAACTTGCACCGATTTCATTAATTCAAGGCTACCACGAACATTTATGACAACATATAATGATCATATATGATTCCTAACGGCATTATATGACCCCGATATGTATTCCCTAAAATCTAAAGGTTTTTCGACACCGTGCCCCGAAACCTCTAAAATTTTTCAAAAAGTATGGATATAAGCCTACAATTTTGGAATTGTTTTTGACTTTTTTTCGCCCGAAAATAAAAATTGGCGAAATTTTTACCATGGTCTCTAATATCCTTCAGGAGTCCAATTGGGTGGGTATTTCCATCTAATTTGCCTTTAAACGGCCAATTTACAGGTTTATAACTTGCACTGATCTCATTAACTCAAGCCTACCACTACACGAAGATTTATGACAACATATACTGACTATAAATGGTTCCAAAAGACATTATATGACCGCGAGATGTATCCCTTAGAATTTTAAGACTTTTTGACACCGGGTCCTGAAACCTCACAAAATTCGCAAACAACGTGGATTTAAATTTAGGAATTTTTTGAGTTTTTTTTGCCCGGAAATAAAAATTGCTGAAGTGTTTACCATGATCCATAATACCATCCGAAAGTCCAATTGGATAGGTGGAATCATCCAATTTGCCTTTAAACGACCAATTTACCGATTTACAACTTGCACTGGTTTCATTAATTTAAGCCTACCACGAAATTTATGGCAACATATAATGATCATATATGGTACCAAACGACATTATATGACCCTGAGATTTATCCCTTAGAATTTCAAGACTATTCGACACCGGGACTTGAAACCTCCAAAATTTCGCAAAATGGATGGATATTAGACTTCAATTTTCGAATTTTTTGACTTTTTTTTCGCCCGAAAATAAAAATTTCCATAATGTTAAAAGTGGTCCCTAATAACCTCCGGGTGTCCACCTGGCTAAGTGCAACCATCCAATTTTCCATTAAACAGCTGAGATACCGGTTTACAACTTGCACCGATTTTATTAACTCAAGCCTAAAATGAACATTTATGACAACAAATGTATTCCCTAAAATTTCAAAAAAATTCGACACCAGCCCCCGAAACCTCCAAAATTTCTTAAAAAGCGTGAATATTAGACTTCAATTTTGGATTTTTTGTAACTTTTTTTCGCCCGGAATTAAAAATTGCTGAAATGTTTACCATGGTCCCTAATACCCGCCGGGAGTCCAATTAGATGGGTGGAACCATCCAATTTGCTTTTAAATGGCCAATTCACTGATTTACAACTTGCACCTATTTCATTAATTTAAATCAAGCCTACCACGGTCATTTATGACAACATATAATGATCATATATGGTTCCAAACGACTTTATATAACCCCGAGATGTATTTTCTAAAATCTCAAGGTTTTTCGACACCGGGCCCTGAAACCTCAAAAATTTCTCAAAAAACGTGGATAAGCCTTCAATTTTGGAACTTTTTGACTTTTTTTTTGCTAAAATATAAAAATTGCGAAAATGTTTGCCATGGTCCCTAATACCCTCCGGAAGTCCAATTGGCTGGGTGGAACCATCCAATTTGCCTTCAAACGACCAATTTACTAGTTTACAACTTGCACCAATTTCATTAACTCAAGCCTACCACGAACATTTATGACAACATATAATGATCATATATGACTCTAAATGGCATTATATGACCCCAATATGTATTTCCTAAAATCTAAAGGCTTTTCGACACCGTGCCCCGAAATCTCAAAAATTTCTCAAAAAGCGTGGATATAAGCCTTCAATTTTGGAAATTTTTTGACTTTTTTCGCTCGGAATTAAAAATTGCCGAAATTTTTACCATGGTCCCTAATACACTCCGAGAGTCCAGTTTGGGTGGGTGTATCCATCCAATTTGCCTTTAAACGACCAATTTACCAGCTTACAACTTGCACTGATTTCATTAAATCAAGTCTACCACGAACATTTATGACAACATATAATGATCATAAATGGTTCCAAACGGCATTATATGAACTCGAGATGTATCCCCTAAAATTTCAAGGCTTTTCGACACCGGGCCTCGAAACCTCCAAAAATTCTAAAAAAGCGTGGATATTAGCTTTTAATTTTGGAACTTTTTTTTTAATTTTTTTCGCCCGAAAATAAAAATTTTCGAAATTTTTACCATGGTCCCTAATACTCTCCGGGGGCCCAAATGGGTGGATGTAACCATCCAATTTACCTTTAAACGACCAATTTATTAGTTTACAACTTGCACTGATTTCATTAATCAAGCCTATCCACCACGTACATTTATGACAACATATAATGATCATATATGGTTCCAAACGTCATTATATGACGCCGAGATGTATCCCCTCTAATTTCAATTCTTTTCGACACCGGGCCTCGAAACCTCCAAAATTTCTCAAAAAGCGTTAACATTAGCTTTCAATTTTGGAAAATTTTGACATTTTTCCGCCCTGAATAAAAAACTTCGAAATGTATATCATGGTCCCTAATATCCTCCAGGAGTCCAATTGGGTGGGTGGAACCATCCAATTTGCCTTTAAACGACCAATTTACCGGTTTACAATTTGCACCGCTTTATCGGTTTACAACAGCCA